GTATTCGTATAAGAACCATCTGTTTTGAATGGGGTGCTGTGCAAATAGTTCTTATACTGACTAATTCTTTTATACACATAAAGTCCATGAATTGATTCGTATGTACTTAATTTCATAAAGGGTGTCATGAACTGAATTGTAAAATTTAGAAAAGATACTTGTTCTCCTTCGACATATACAGTCAGTATAATAAGTATTCATATAGGAACCACTTGTTTTGAATGAGTTGCTGTATGAATACTTCTTACGTATGTACTTAATGTACTTCATTTCATAAAGGCTGTCATGAACTGAATTATAAAATTTAGAAAAAATACTTGTCCTCTTACAGCATATACATTCCTTTATGCACATAAAGTACATGAATTTGAATACCAGTAGAAAAATGTTATCCCCAGTGTCCTCTAAATAGGACTTTGGTGCTCGATAGCTAAATGCTAGGTAAAACATTTCAAACCATCTGCGAATGAATCTTTTTTTCCTAAGCATCATTGCTCGAGTGAGTTTCTCACGTAATTCTTTCCCACGTAAAAATTGCGTGGAAATTTAGGTCAGCTACCATACGAATGCTTATCGACGCTATTATAACTAATCGTCTTCGTTGTACCGTAAATTAATATCGTTTGAATTTGTTTCTACAGGTAACGTGGACATCGTCAATGGAAATCTGAAACTGATCCTTGGTCTGATATGGTCGCTCATTGTAAGATACCAAATAGGCAAGTCCAAGTTCCCGCCAAGGAAACTCATGCTCGCATGGCTCAAGGTCAGTATACGTAATTGCACGGGTAACCTTGCAGCATCGCGAGCGTAATCTCGGTGGAGGGATATAACACGCTCCCGAGCTGAATATATCTTTTAACGAGTAAAATAAATATCTTATTCATTACTTTGTCTGTTCTTTTACAGGCAGTCTTGCCGGAATGCAGGGTGAACAATTTCACGACGGACTGGAACTCCGGCGTGTACCTGAGCGCGTTGCTCGATTATTGCCAACCGGGTCTATTCAGTCACTGGCGCCAACTTGATTCCAGCGATAGGTATAATCGAGAAATCGATTTAATATAAATTAGGCTCCCTGTACCATTTAATTCCTAAAACAAAAAAAGACAGTTTCGTAAGGAGCACCCTGTAGATATCTTTAAACATTCTTGCCGAACATTCTCACCGAAAGAAGTAATTAACTGACCTTCCGTTCGCAGCGTGTACAATTGCCGAAAAGCGATGGAGATCTCGAAGCGCGAATTCGACATACCCATGGTATTGGAACCAGAGTACCTTGCGTCACCATATTTGGACGAACTATCGGGAATGACCTACTTATCGTACTTCATGAAGGAGGGCTCGCCAGGTTTCCACGCAACGTTACGATGGGTCAACTCGCAATTACCTCATCATTCCGTGCAAAATTTCACGGTGAGTGTACCACTGGTTGGCATCGAGACGATAGTACCACGAGGATTTTTCTCAGATGGAAACGATTCTTGCAGACCGATTGGAACGACGGGACAGTGTTGTGCGGGATCGTGAGGAATTTGGGCGGACCCGCTCTGCCTTACGATAAAATCAATACCGATCCATCCGCATGGGAGCACAATATTCAAATGGGTAAATAGCCACGCGATCCGTTTGGAGAATAACGTCGTCATTTCTATGGGTTTGTCGCGCGTGACGTAATGGTTGCTTTTATATTTTTCCCAAGGTATCGATGGTGGCAAGAAACTAGGCGTGGAACCTATTCTCAAGGCGAAAGACATGGCTGACCAGAACGTGGAACATTTGGGCGTGATGGCGTACGCGGCGTACTTTCAGTGGGTGAAGCCTCGCCCTCAAGCGAGCAAACAAATTGTTGTCCACATAGACAGCACTTCCGCTAGAGTGCAACAACCGGTTAGTATAATTGCGGGCTTAAAAATTTGCTCGTCGATTGTACGAAGTATCCTAGACCGTTTCTCAATCGTCGTTGCGTTGAGAAACAAAACAAAGGGGGACAATGGGCAGCGGTGTTCAATTATGCCTTATTCGTGTCTGTAGGCGCATTTCAAGCTGGAAATGCTTACCAAAGAAGTAAATATGAGGGAAGTGCGCGGCGAAGTGGTAAGTCCCAGCGGACGGACCGAGTGTAGGCTTACTTGGAACGGGGTTCATGGAAAGGGAACGTTTGTACCCACGGAAGTCGGAATGCATAAGGTTTGTATCATGCAGGAGCGATATTCTTTATGATCTTGCATCTAAAAGAATATAAATTGACGTTTTATTTACCGGGAGCCTATTTATAGGCTTATAGGTTGTCTACTTACAATGTTTAGTTTTTGGAAACAGACTTGGCTTTCGATGGACCTAGTATGTGACCTAATTCTTTTTTGAATTAAAGACTGTTTCTAAATAGCCCGGTAAATAAAGTGTTAACCCTTTGCCCTCAAGGCCTTTTTTCTGGTATCTATTAGCAACTCGAGATGCTTTCTTAACATTCCATTGTCACGAATGCTAAGCTTAGATTAACTGCGAAAATGAGATTCTTAATTTGAGAGTTGAGAATCAGGTTTTTGCCTCAACGACAATCATGTTATTGACATTTCGAGTTCCAAAGAAATTAAACCTAAAGAAACCTCGAGAGTCACCACTCGAGTGCAAAGTGTTAATAATAACATTCATTTTCCCTGTATTTAACAGTTAATGGTGTACAACGACGGAGAATTGGTGGATGGATGCCCGTACCACTTCAGAGTATTACCTCCTCTGACCAAAATTAAATCTCCCGGGATGGATCCGTGCGCTATAGGATCTATCGTCGAGGTTCTAGTCAACAGTTACGGTAAATATTAATCGGGAATCTTTTATACTACTACTTATATATATATATTTCTACTCGCGATCCGTGTGTAAAATAATCACGTTTCAGGAACTAGTCATGATGGCATTGACGTCACCGCATGGTCCCCGACTGGGAGATCTTTATCGTGCCCTGTCAAAGAGAACGATGGCGTGCATACTGCAACCTTTCAACCTGACGAGACAGGGGAGTGGAGCATCGCGATAACTCATAAAGGAAATCATATACAAGGCGGACCGTTCACATGTTTCGTATTCGACCCTAATGGGATAAAGGTAGTTGAACTAACTGATCGATTTTACTTAAATAAAATGTGGCTTATTTTTGGCGCGAACCGTACGTCTAGATATCATATCTAAACGAATATTTGCAGCTGCTGGACACAGAAGGCGCCATGCCCGGGCAACCGTTCTCATTCATCGTCGACGCAACAGGAACCGGAGGCCTCGGCGATGTAATAATAGATTTGGTACACGACAAACAGTCCGTGCCCTTCCGAATGGAAAATTTCGGGCACATGCAATATCGAGTCTCGTTCGTTCCGTCCGATGCCGGCAAGTACAGAGTGTACGTGTACTTTAACGGCTCGGACGTTCGAGGCTCTCCGTTTTCGATTCGCGTTGGAACTCAGAAGGGATCGAGAAGGTCGAAGGATTCAACGTCCAGCCTCGAGAGGTCGAAATTGTCCTCGCTGGAAAGACGAATGAACGGCTTGAACGTTTCGATCGGAGCCGATCGATCCAGTCCCGTTCAGAAGGTCTATTCTTCATCGGCGTACAAGTCGTCCTCTAGCCCTATTCAACACGTTCGCGATTACTCTCCCGTGGGTCAGACCACCACGGCTTACAAAACGTCGAGTAATTATTCGATGGAGAACTCCAGCTCGACATACCACGCGTCGACCTCGTTCAATCGAACCCTGTCGCCGAATCAGAGTCACAGTCCAGTTTCGAGAAACGTGCACAGTCCGTCCATGATCAAAGAAACTAAAGAAATTTATTCAACCAGTGCGTACAATCAATCGAGGTCCCCGACCGTGCAGAGTCCTAGCCTCGTAAAGGAGTCGAAGGATATTTACACGTCGAGCACAATGAACATATCCCGTTCGCCGAATCCGAGTCCCACAGCTCACGGGACGAGGTGTTCACCGATTATCAAGGAGTCTCGAGACATCTACAATTCTGGGTCGCTGAAGAGATCCCGGTCGCCTAATCGCAGCCCGATGGCGTATCGTAGCGCGACTCAAAGTCCTGTCAATAGGAGTTTCAGTCCTAGAAACAACGACAGAGATAGTAGCTTCAATAGGAGGGGTTCCACGGAAAACGGAGCCGTGGATACCAGCAGCAACGTCAGAGTGTCGTCGATGGTCGGCGGTACGTCCAGACGAGACTCCTGGGACGCCATAGAGAAAACGAAGTCTTTACTCTCTTACGGCAGCTTGGAGTCCCTCGCCAATTTAACCAACAATTCTCCTACCGCCGAGAATCCGAACAACCAAAGTTACTTAAATAACAATTACAAAAATACTCAAAGCTACAATACGAGGAACGTGTCGCACACGAAAACCAGCTCCACGAACTTCACGTCCACCCAGAAAGTCTCCAGTCCCGACTACAACACGTCCCAAAAGTACAACAGCGACAATCACAACGCTCGCGTGCAAACGCACGGAATCCTTAAAAATAAAAATAACAATTACTATAAGAGCGCGGACACCACCGACGGCGTAAACGATCGATATCTCAATAATGGGGTTTCCGTTTACTCGTCGACGCAAGAAAAGAATTCTGGCCTCGCCAGCGGAAGTGCGCTTGAAATGTTACCGATCCACAGGCCGACCACCTTCGCTATAGATCCAAGCGTAGATTCCAGTAGAGTTACCGTCAGCGTTTCTGGTGAGTTCACTCGTTTAATAATGCGGCGCCAGAAAATATTGCGTATTTTAGTTAACCAAGAAAAACCTGTATTTCTATAATTAAACATAAAATTCATTCCGCTGTGTGAAGCGCAGACTCCGTACGACTGTTGTCTGTTGTAAACAATAGGATAGTTTTTATGCGGGAGGTGATTCAACAATTATGACTCATATTCATATAGAGAAGCAGAATAGTCGCAGAGGAATGCAATTGCTTTCAGAACGATGACCTAAGATGATAGATCGTCGTGCATAAGATTACGTTTCCTTGTCTTCTAAGAAACCAAGGTTCTAAAATACGCGATATTTTCTGAGACCAAGTACAGGTTTCGCTCTACGATAAAATATCGTCACAATATTTATTAAACAAATTGCGTTCACTTTCAGGTCCAAATGGGAAACCGGTTCCCCTCCAAAAGTCGACCCTTCGAGGTTTGACGTACACGATAATCGCTGAAGAAGTTGGCGAACACACGATACAAATTTTAGTAAACGGCCAGCACGTTCAAGGCTCGCCTTTCAGGTTCGTACCGAGCACGTACTACAGAATAAAAGTCTGAAATAGGATTCAGGAATGAATTATATAATTTATACTTAACCTATGATCCGTTTCGTAATTTCAGATCGCAGGCGTACAATGCACGCGCTATCCAAGTTGGGAACATTCCGAATGGCGTTGTGAATCAACCAGTAGAATTCGAAAGTACGTATCGAGTGACAGCGTTACTAGAAAATAGGATACGTTGTAAGGAATTAACATTCTATAATTTTCCATCGATGTTTCACTGAATTTTCAGTCGATGGATCTAGAGCTGGGTCAGGGAATCTAGAGATCCTCGTGAACGGCGGCCACGTGACGAGTTTCGTCAGGGCGTTGGGCAGCCAACGATTCCTGGCGTCCTTCGTGCCCCACGAAGCTGTTGTACACCTCGTGGAAATGACGTTCAATGGCGAAGTAGTCCCCGGTGAGTGAATTCTCACAGCTACGTACCTCATTCGTAATGTCTCCAATTTATTAACACATTAATCTACATAATTGGATAATTTAACAGACGAGCAAACGATATCTAAATTCCGTTTCGTATTTCAATATCACGTCCACGTTCGAGAACAATGGCAAGAAGTATGTGGTTCAACAGAGTGTTGACACAATAACAATTTCCCATACGGTCAAGAACCATGCATTGTGCACCGCGTATGAATGCACGCGAGTCAGCAAATTCTATTCGCATAGCGAGCATTCCGTGGCGTCGCCATTAAGAAAGTAACGAAGAATTTGTCCTGAAAATCTCGATGTTTCACCAAGAATTCGTGACGTTCCCAGAATTCCGAACGTTCGATCAAAAATGTCGCAGTTCCCCGGCAAAATAGTTCATTCTCGTCGAGCGACTTTCCTTTCGACCTGACATACCCTATTATTATTAACCGCGAAAGAAATTTCCCGGTGAAAGTTATGCACTTGTTCCTTACAGCCTCGGAAGGAAGATGACTGAGTAATGGTATCCCTCTTAAAAAAAAAAAAAAACTCGCTCGATATTAATTGCGGACATGTAACTTTCATCTCGCTAATGAAT